CTGGAGCTCAGCAGCCATCCCAGCAGGATGGGCAACCTCCTCCCAGTGAAGGTACAGTGCCATTCCATGCAGTTGGGAAACCCCTGACTTCCAAGGAAGGTTCGAGCTCTGTGGGGCTGGTGTGGGACAGGGACCCCTCTCTGAGGTTGTGCTCCCTTACACAGACTGCCAGAGATACGGAGGAACAGATGGATGTGGACGTTGTGGTGGACACAGAGGAGAGGATGGAGGTGGACATCCAAGAGTTTGAAGAAGAGATGGAAGTCGATGAGGTGGAGGAGATCGAGGAGATGGATGTGGACCATCAAGATGAGGAGGAGGACATGGTGCTGGGATGAGGACAGTCCCCCAGCAGCACGACAGGCACGTCCTGGCCATGCCCTGCCCCGGGGTCACCTGCTGGGTGTGCCAGGCTGGGGGCACAGGGAACACCCAGCAGGGCCCGACTGCACTGACCGTGCCCTTGCTTTTCTTGCAGGACTGACGGACCTACCGGCCATGCAATTGGCCACTTGTACATATGTTTTTCACCCTTTTCCCAGTTTTTCTGTAAATACGTTTTATATTAGTGACGTTTTAAGAAGTTTGTTGTTTTTATATAGAAGATAGTTTAAGAAGATAGATTTTTAAGTAAGGAGATAGTTTTTTATTAAGAAAATAGTTTTTAAGAAGATAAGTTTCCTTTTTAAGAAGATAGCTTTTTCTTAAGAAGATAGTTGTTTTATTTAGAAGATAGTTGTTTTTATTAAGAAGATATTTTTATGAAGAAGACAACTGTTTTTAATAAGAAGATGTTTGTTGATATTAAGACTGTTGTCATCAAGAAGACTGTTGCTCCTGTTAAGAAGAATGTTGGATTTTTAAAAAAAATTCTGAAAACATCAATAAATTCTGTAGACATCTCTGATATGTTTTTCTCTTATTGTCCTTCTGTAAATACATGTCAAAGATTATTGTTGTTCCATGGGCCCTTAGAATGTGCCCTCTCAGCCCAGACCCCCCCGTGTCCTGGGCTCATCCCCAGCCCTGGGGGCAGCAGGGCAGGGGGGGTTCTGCCGCTCTGCTGTGCTCTCAGGAGACCCCACCTGCAGTGCGGCCTCCAGCTCTGGGGTCCCCGACACAACAAGGCCAGGGAACTGCTGCAGCAAGGCCAGACCAGGCCACCAAGGGGCTCAGGGACCTCGAGCACCTCCCCTCTGCACACAGGCTGGCAAAGTTGGGGCTCTTCAGCCTGGAGAAGAGAAGGTTGTGTGGAGACCTGGGAGAAACTTTCCGGGAGGGTGACTCTTGGCCAGCAACTGTAGTGACAGGACACGGGGTTCAAACTGACAGACAAGAGGGTTAGATTTGATGTTAGGAAACTGTTGTTTCCTGTGAGGGTGGTGAGGCCCTGGCAGGGGCTGTGTAGAGAGGCTGTGGCTGCCCCATCCCTGGGAACATTCAAGGACCACTTGGACAGGACCCTGAGCAACCTGGTCAGGTTGGAACAAGAGATACGGAGGAAGAGATGGACGTGGGTGTTGTGTTGGATACCGAGGAGATGATGGAGGTGGATGTGCAAGAGTTTGAAGAAGAGATGGAAGTCGATGTGGAGGAGGAGATCGAGGACATGGATGTCAGTGACGAAGATGAGGAGGAGGACATGGTGCTGGGATGAGGACAGTCCCCCAGCAGCAGGACAGGCACGTACTGGCCATGCCCTGCCCAAGACTGGCAGTTTGAGCACAGGGCTGAAAAAAGCAAACAACAGCCCTTATCCCCAGGAGAGAAAGCCTGAAACCCTTGGCTCTGTGGTGCAGTTGGTGTCCCAGACTGGGCACTCCATTGACAGCAAGAGCTTTGTGTCCTGGCACCTTTTGTCTGGGAGGAATCTTCGTCCATATGCAATTTTGAGAGTCAGATTGTCCATTTCAGCACAGGATTCCTGAAATTCAACAACATCGCTTTTCCACAGGTAAGAAAGCACTTACCATTTTGGTTTGTGGTGCAGTTGGTGGGACAGCCCAGGCACTCCATGGGCAGCAAGTGCTTTCTGTCCTGGTACCTTTTGTCTAGGAGATATTCTCATCCATATTCAATTTTTGGAGCTGGACTTCCTATTTCAGCGCTATGATACCTGCAAGCAAACATCAGTCTTTTTCCCCTGGAAAGAAAACCCTTACCTTCGTGGTTTCTGGTGCAGTTTGTGGGCTAGCCTCAGCACTCCATGGGCAGCAAGCGCTCTCCATCCTGGCATCTGAGCAGACTAGCTCAGCTCAGCTGCCCTTCGAGGCTTTCTGAGGTGACCAAGGGAGAAGCCAAGGTTCTTTGTCAGAGATTTATAGTCCATGGAGAAGCTGCTCCACGCTCAGCCCAGCTCAGCCCAGCCGCCCTGCAAGCTCTAATCATCTGATCATTGGATGGAGCTGAGAGTGTCTGTGGGAGATTTAAACTGCAGGGAGAAACTGCTCCCAGCTCAGCCCAGCTGTGCCCAGCTGCCTTGCGAGGCCTAATCAGCTCACCAGGGGATGGAGTCCAGGTCGTTTCTGGGTGACATAAACTGGTCCAGGGAGTACAAACGACCTGGAGCGTGGCCAATAGGAGGAGGCAAACAGGGGTGTGGCATGTCAGTGAGGACGTGGCAGGGCACTTTGGGCAGCAGGTCGCCCAGGCAGGGAGAGCAGGAAGAACACAGCCACTCTCCCAGCTCTGTCTGATGGCCTGTGAGGTAGGTCTGTGACTGTCTGTGTTTTTGTGGAGTAGGACTGGCAATTTAAGTGGAGGGCTTCAAAAACAGAATGAGGGCAGTTCAGCCCTTTACCCTTTGTCTCTCATGTTCAGGTGGTGGGCCACTCTTGGTATTCCATGGGCAGCAAGAGCTTTCTGTGGTGGCACCTTTTGTCTGGGAGGAATCTTCGTTTGTATTCAGTTCTGGGGAGGTGGGAGCAGCAATTGCAGCGCAGGGCTGAAAAAAGGGAAGAGCAGCCCTTTCCCCCAGGACAGAAAACCTGGAACCTTTGGCTTTCAGGTGCAGTTGGTGGGGCAGCCTGGGCACTCCGTGAGCAGCAAGAGCTTTGTGTGGGGTCACCTTTTGTCTGGGAGGAATCTTCATTTGTATTCAGTTTTGGGAAGATGAGAGCAGTAATTGCAGCATAGGGCTGAAAAAAGGGAACAGCAGCCATTTGCCCCAGGACAGAAAGGTTGGAACCTTTGGCTTCAGGTGCAATTGTTGGATCAGCCTGGGCACTCCGTGAGCAGCAAGAGCTTTGTGTGGTGGCACCTTTCTTCTGGGGGGAATCTTCGTTTGTATTCAATTTTGGGGAGGTGGGACCGGTAATTCCAGTGCAGGGCTGAAAAAAGGGAACAGCAGCCCTTTCCCCCAGGAAAGAAAGCCTGGAACCTTTGGCTTTAGGTGCAGTTGATGGGGCAGCCTGGGCACTCCGTGGGCAGCAAGAGCTTTGTGTGGTGGCACCTTTTGTCTGGGAGGAATCTTCATTTGTATGCAGTTTTTGGGGAAGTGGGAGTGGCAATTGCAGTGGTGGGTAGAAAAAAGAGAAGAGCAGCCCTGTGCCCCAGCAAAGAAAGCCTAGAACCTTTGGCTTCAGGTGCAATTGCTGGGCTAGCCTGGGCAATCCGTGGGCAACAGGAGCTTTGTGTGGTGTTGTCTGGGAGGAATCTTCCATTTGTATTCAGTTTTTGGGAGGGTCACCTACCGCGTGTGCCAGGCTGGGGGCACAGGGAACACCCAGCAGGGCCCGACTGCACTGACCGTGCCCTTGCTTTTCTTCCAGGACTGATGGA